TGAAACCTCAATTGTTAAGGTATCAAAAGGACCCCTCCCCCCCCTTACGTTGCTAAATTTCGAAAATATTAATTCAGCTGTGCTATCTCTAAATTCTTGTATACAGAGTAAAACACATTAAAAGAAATTGATTGGTGCAAAGCAAACTCCAATTCAGACGAATTGTTTCCGAATCAGACGAAGAAAGTCAAAATGAACTCAATATTAAGTACACAGACCCCCCCCCTTATGTGCCAAATTTCGAAAAATATTAATTTCAGCACTGCTATCTCTATTTCTGTTTCACAAGTAAATTAATTAAAAAAATTGCTTGTATACAGAATTAGAGATAGCAGTGCTGAAATTAATATATTTCGAAAATTGACACGTAAGGGGGGTCGTTTTGTACCTTGATAAATTGAAGTTCATTTTCCTTCTCGTCTATCTCGGAAACTATTCGTCTGATTGGTTTCGTAAGGATTAATTTCGAAACTAATAGTCGGATTTACGTTTTCTCTGCACAATTCAATTTCTCTTCGAGAGTTGTACTTACTTGATTTCACAAAGAAACTACGAACTTAGGTTTTTTCCATTTTTCCCTCAATTACGAGATTTGGGCTTCATTTGATTTCAAGCGTTTAATTCCGTAACTAATAGTCTGATTGACGTCTGCTTTGCACCATTGAATTTCTCGTCGAGAGTTGTACTTACATTCTTGATATCAGAAAGAAACTACGAAATAAGTTTTTTCCATTTTTCTCTCAATTTCGAGATTTGGGCTTCATTTGATTTCAAGCGTTTAATTTCGAAACTAATAGTCGGATTAATGCCTGCTTTGCACCATTGAATTTCTCGACGAGAGTTGTACTTACATACTTGATTTCAGAAAGGAACTTCGAAATTAGGTTTTTTCCATTTTTTCCCTCAATTTTGGGATAAAGTCTTCATTTAATTTCGGTTATTGCCTATGAAATATGAGTTTTTTTGAATTCGTTGAGAAATCGAAAATACGATACTTTCAATTTAATGTTCTTAGTAGGCACATTTCTCACACGTACATGACAAATGATGACATTTTCTGAAACTACATCAATTTTGGAAGACTTTAGTGTTTGTAGAATTGATTTATGTCAGGTATTTTTTGCGTTATGCTGGATTTAATTTTTGTGTTAAAAAGTGTAAAGGATCGACGAAATTTACCGATTTTCGACATGACACGGTTTTTTTCTGGAAACCAAGGTCTAAGCGCAAACTTTAAGGCGAATACACCATAGAAACCTTTTTTGCGATTTAAATCTTATTTTTTCAGAAAAACGCAAAATGTACACCACAAACGTAAATTCACGCAATTAACTGTGTAGAGAATAGCATTGTCAAGGAGGTTTTTATTAACTGGCACACTTCATTGAGGACTCAAATTGAAGAGTAGAGTACATACTGTCTTGTGTGCAAATTTCTGCGCTATAGCTGCTTTAGAAGCGTCTTGATATCCGACTATTGAGGCCGCACAGCAGTTGTGTGTGTTATTGTTCTTAGGTGCAGCTGCTACAGAAGCGCGGCTGGCGCAGGGGGCCGTCTTTTTTGCACCATTGAATTTCTCGTCGGGAGTGGTATTTACATAAGTATTATCAGTACGGTTACCATTTGCATCAATCAATTTCCTTTAATGTGTTTTACTTGTATACAGATATAGAGATAGCAGTGCTGAAATTAATATTTTTCGAAATTTGCAAATTTGCACATAAGCGGACGGTCGTTTTGTAACTTGAACAATTGAGGTTCATTTTTTTCCCGTCTATATCGGAACTATTCGTCTGATTGGAGTTTTCTTTGCACCAATCAATTTTTTTAATGTAATTTACTTTGTGAACAGAAATAGAGATAGCAGTGCGAAATTAATATTTTTCGAAATTTGGCACATAAGGGGGTCTGTTGCTACTTAAAAATTGAGGTTCATTTTGTTTTCTCGGTCTTAATCTCGGAAACCAATTCGTCTGTTGGAGTTTGCCTTTGCACCAATCAATTTCTTTTAATGTGTTTTACTTGTTATACAGAATTAGAGATAGCACAGCTGAAATTAAATTTTTCGAAATTTAGCACGTAAGGGGGGGAGGGGTCCTATGTAGCCTTGAGGACAATTGAGGTTCAGTGTCTTTTCTCGTCCCTAAATCTCGGAAACAATTCGGTCTGATTGGAGTTTCGCTTTGCACCACTCAGATTTCTTTTAAGTGTTTACTTGGTAATACAGATGAGAGATAGCAGTGATGAGAATTAATATTTCAGAACATTTTTCACGTAAGGGGGTGGTCGTTTTGTTATACGTTGAACAATTGAGCGTTTCAGTCTTTTCTCTCGTCTGTATGCTCGGTAGTAACTATTCAAGGCTTAATGTTGGAGTTTACTTTGCACCAATCAATTTCTTTTTATTGTGTTTACTTGTGATACAGATTTAGAGATAGCAATGGCTAAAAAATAACATTTTCTCGAAGTTTGACACGTCCAGAGGGGGGGTCAGTTTTTAACTTGAGACAATTGAGGTTCAGGGTTTTGGTTTGCGTTGTCCTATCTCGGGGAGACTATTCGCTACGTTGGATTGGAGGTTTTCTTAATGCACCAGATCAGAGATTTCTTTATACATATGTGTGTTTATGGACTTAATACGAGAAAAGTAGAGATAGAACAGTGCTGAAATGAGTATTTGTCGAGAAGTTGGCCGACAGTGGAAGAGAGGGGGTTGTCATTTGTAACTAGGAAGCAAGTGAGGTTAATTGTTCATGGTGTCTGTATACTCGCGAAAACTCATTGCTGCTGAAGATGTGGAGTTGTTCTTTCGACCACCAATCAAGGGTTTCTTGTAATGTGTGTTTACCTTGTATACAGCAATGAGAGGTGCGATAGG